GTCCCGGCAGTTTTCTTGGCACATTTTCAGTAGTGATTTTTACATTAGCAGTACAAGTAATCCTTGACTTACAACCACAATTGGGTTGAGAATCTTAATCACTGAGTAAGATGGTCATTAAATGAGACAATCTTCATGTGGCTGCTTTGCTCAAGAACAGTAATTCCAGCACTTTAAGGACGATCTGTTATTATGCAATGTTCTGAAAAATAAAAATGTTCCCCTATTGGGTTAAATTATTTCTGTTTTTGTTTTTGTATTACATTATTCGTTTGCATAAGGTTTACCTAGTTTGTCCTAGATAGATCTTAGTAATTACAAAGCACATTTTACCCTTTAGAGAAATTATGAAGATAATTTTCAAAATTGCAAAGATGACAAACCAACTATGCTAATTTACCTTGCAAATGTTCTTTAATAAGGGAATATTTGATCATTCATTACAGTTTACATATCTAGAAAACAGAATCTGTTCAGTGGTGAACAGAGTTCTTAAGTTCCTTAACAATAAGAATGTTGCATGCCACTATGCTAGCAAATCAGACACTGCTACTACTTTGCAACACAATGCCAATACCTCATGCAGTCCAAGACACGTATTTTCTCATGTATGAGAAAATATGTATACTGCATATTTACCATAATGCTGCGCTACATGATGTCTCACCAAGCCAAGAGAAAAAATGGGAAGTTACCTTTCCATGCCCACTCACACTAGCCTGATGTCAACCAGAATGGTGCAGCCTTGCAATCCTGCCTGCTAAATTGGATAAGGAGCAGGCCTATGTGCCAGTATTCCTTGGCCATTACTCTTACCCAATCAAAACCAAAGCCCATGAGAATTTGGTTCTGTTTTGTCTGAGTAAAATATACCATAGGAAATGAAAGAGAAAAAAGAAAAATAATTTGCAAAATATACAAAAATACCCTGATAATCATACTAAATTTGCTTACTGAAGTCTTGGAGAGATAACAGTTAACATTGTGTTGAGAATCTGATGGAAGGTAATCAATTACATATTTTTGTTATATTACACATTGAACAGTGTATATAGAGAGTTATATTCTGTGTTTAGTGTATTATAAGAAACTTCCTGATTTGCATTCTTACTATTTGTTAGCATATAGTTAGCTGGGAGTGTAAAATAAAATTCCAACTAATTCTCAAGAGTTGTTTTTTGAATGAAATTTTTTTTTAAAGACTCAGCATCACAACTCCAGAACTCTGCATGCTCTTTCCAGAAAATTCACTTGTACACAGAAAATAAAAATAGAATTTTATAGACAAAACTTAAAAAATGTCCTGTATCCACCAAAGAACATGCATATTCCAATGTCATCTGAAATAACAAATAGGTGTGCCAATTGTGCACATAAGATTATCAAGTACCTTAACACCTGCTCTAACAGATAATTAAAAATAAACTGTTCTGAGCAAGTAATTATGAGGACTACAAGATCTCATTCTCATATCACGTTATAAATATTACTGAATCCATGTAGTGACCCTATCTTCTAAACACATACACAAAAATACTGCAGAGTTTTAGGAATGTAAAATAAATAGATAGTAGCAGAATCCAATGTCATCTGTCACTAGTGTTAAGAAAGTAACATCCATAAGGAAGTAGCATTTATCATGAGGTTACACAGAAAAAAAGGAATAATTATATACAAAAGCATAAATTATTGGTTAACAGTTTAAAGTGCATACCAAAATGGATGTATAACTTGGAGCCCTGAGTCTATATACATGCAAACTTTTAAAAATATAATTTTATTAAAGATTTTAGCAAAATCTAATATAAACTAAAATAGAAAAAATGAAAGGTTCAGACAAAAAATAAAAAAGTAGAAAACAGAAAGAAAAAAGAATAAATAAGGTAAAAATATATNTGTCTGGACTTCAACTCCCAGAATTCCCCAGCCAGCATTCGCTGGCTGGGGAATTCTGGGAGTTGAAGTCCAGACATCTTCAAGTAGCCAAGGTTGAGAAACACTGCTCTATAACATCCAGTCATGGTAGTCATCTCAGAAACAGCAAGGGAATATGGAAAAATAGAAGTAATCAGAAATACTTGTATTAAATAAAACTTCTAAGAATCATTCTGGGAATAAACAGAATTCATTTTTAACTTTACAAAATGTTTTCAAACAAAAATCTCAAGATTGAGTTGATCCAAAGTAATATTATGAAAGGCTCAGTTTACCCAATAAATAGATTTACCCAGAATTTTTAACTAAAAGTATTGTGCTATAATGTAATATTTCCAGAAGTAAAAGGAATGCTGATAACCTGGGAAAAATTACTGAGGAGAGAGCAGAACTCTGGCAAAGCAAAAGGAAGTATGCCTTAGAAAGAAACTCCATTCATGGAACAATTGCTTCATTGTTCTTTCAAAATTCTGTTGTCTTAGTCCTGCCCCATTACCTCATACCCTAATGACTTCATCAGGCACATGATGTATTTATATCCAATGAAATGCTTGACTGCGCTAGCCAATCACATGCATTCTATTGTCCGTAAAGTCTACAAAAGGAGACTGTAACTCTTCCATTCTTTAAGCTGATCTTTGCCTCCTCTGGTGTCAAAGCAATTAATGTAATATGTCCTGGTGTCCGGTTTAATGAATATTATAATGAATATAGTAGGAATGAAGTACTTCCTACTATAATTTCAATCGGTTTAATAATAACTATTAAATTGAGTGTAAAGAAAAAACTGATTTCTGAAATTTCTTAATCCAGTTACTGGCCAAAGCAAGGATAAATGCCCATTGAAGCTTAAAAGTATGAAAAACAAAATTGATCTTTTCCAAAATTTGAACCTTTTGCAGTCTCAACACTTTCAATCCTATTGAATTATTCAACACTTCCAATCAGCTGAATTATTTTTAAATCCTGCATTGACCATCAATGTGCAAGAAATGATTTCCACTGAACACTTTTTGGAAGTTGTATTGTTGGACGCTGATGCCATCTTACAAGGATGAAGAAAGTAATATAAGCCTTGGCAGCAGTATAAAATGGTGTTTTAAAATAGATTCCAGGTGGCAGTCATTATGATCTCTACATGATTCATTGCACAATTTTCTAATTGAAGAAATGTGATTATGGGACCAGTCACCTTGGAAAGAGAAATAAATGCTTTGGGCAAGGTTTAACATTCTAAAAGCTGTATTTGATGTTTGAATTATTTTTAACATGATGAAGTTGTTCACTTTAGAATAATCAAATAAACATTTCTGAAAAAGGAATTCTAGTTTAGTTTGGACCATGTAGGAAATATATCTGAATGCTCTTTAGCATCAGAGAATCACCATTCCCCTTTTATTCCTTCTGAAGGCTCATCTGGGAAAGTATCAAATATTAACAGTATGGAGAGCATATCAAAAAAGTTATGAAGAAAAAAACTTTTCTTGCTCTTAGACTAGTTCAACAGATCTTTCTGAAATTAAGTGGGAATCACCTGAAAGTTCATTACTCATGCAATCAAAAAAGGGGAGAAGAATCAACATTGGGGTTACAACTCATGCCCAATTCAATATTCCTTGTCCCAGTGAAAGTGATGGCAACATTAAGACTTCCTTTGCTAAAAATCCTATTTGTCATACAATAGGTATCCAATGCAAATTACTTACCTTTGCTTGTATGAACAGAGATCTCAGCTAAGTAACAGGATAAAATAGGGGATCCAATTGGTGTTTTCTGTCAAGTGCAGTGATATTGTGGAAGAAATTCTAAGAATATCTTAGTATAGAGGGATGAGCCCATTAAATGGCTTGTGTGAGGTTCTGTCACCGGGGTGGGGTGAGTTTAATATATTAATTTATTGTATTACTTCTTTTATTAGTTTTCTTGCTTTTATATGGGGTTTTATATTCTGTAAGCCACCTTGAGTTGCCATGTGTAAATAGGTAGCAATATAAATTCCCTAAATAAATAAATAAGTTTAAAATCTTAATTCTTCTTTTCTTCCCTATCACTTTCATTCACTAATGCATAAAAATAGCAATACTGCCACCTACTGTTCAAAAGTATGCAATTATTACATGGCGTGAGAATAAGAAAATGCTACACTTTAAGTTATGGTTCTCAAAAAGGAAGTGTGGCATATCTTTATTTATTTCTTAGATTTAGGTACCACCCATCTTACTCTCAGAGTGAGTGTTGCCAATCATATGCCATCAGTAGCAGCAACTAAGAAAATAACTAATTTTTAAAGATTGGGATACAATAAAGACAAAAATAAGTTTTAAGAGTTATAAAACTTATATACAAAAAAAAAAAAAAAAAACCTAAGGAAAAAACCTAGAGAAGCAACGTATAACTAAGGAGAAATTTCCTGACAGTTAGAACAATTAACCAGTGGAACAAGTTACCTCCAGAAGTTTGAATTCTCCAACACTGGATGTTTTAAAGAAGAGATTGGACAACCATTTGTCTGAAACAATATAGGGTTTCATGCCTGAGCAGAAGACTAGAAGACTTCCAAAGTGCCTTCCAAACCTGCTATGCTATGCTACGCTATGCTACACTATTGTTTGGAAAAGCCATTAAACAGAATGGAAAACCACTGCTTTCTCACCCCCATCCTGGGAAACAGCCCATTGTTCAAGTAATGTAATTTAATTTATACCCCACCTTTATTTTTTTTTAAGTCAAGGTGGCATACGTAATGTTCTCTCCTCCTACTTTCCCCACAACAATCCTGTGAGGTAGGCTGGGCTGAGAGAGAATAGTTGACTCTGATCCCAAGGGGAATAGGTACATGAAGCAATTGGTACCTAAATATACGGAAAGAATATAAGGAATCTGCTTTCTAGGAAGTGACTGGTCCAAGAGATAATGAGCCAAATTTACACTGGAAACATTTAAAGTTCAGTGTAAGATTATGTATCAAACATAGCATGTTACATATTATATAGTATATTGTATTACATACAATATATCAAATATCACAGCTGTATGAAACTGAAATAGTGGAAACTGTGGCTTACCGTCTTGATGAAAGTCCTTTCTTTGTCTTCCCAAAATTTGTCACTCAATTCAATTGTGCAGTGAATATTTATTTCTCTCTCATAGGAACCAAAAATAAATAATCTGAAATTCAAACATATAATTATTACATTACCATTAATTGCTTACAGCTGCTACATTTTCTTTAGCAATTTATTTATAGTACACTATTTCAGGATATCAGAAGTTTAAAAAAAGAATTTGCACCCTCTAGTGGAAACAGGTAGCAAATGAAAGCAAAGACACAATTTCAACATTTTTCGTATACAGTAGGTAATATAATGCACTGAAGTAGGTAACAAGTGTAAACTGGGCATTATTGCAAAGTAAGTAGTGATAAAAACTGTGGCTGAAAACTATTTTTAATTAAATATATATTAGTGAAATCATTCTAAAGGGAAAATATTCTTCTTTTCTGACAGGACTAACAGGGATCTATCACCATAACTTTTAAGTACTTCTGAAAATATGTCCATTATGAAATGTAGCTGCCACCTAATTGGAGTAGCCTTTTAACCAATATTTTAAATATATATATTCCGTATAGCTTGTGTGTGGAGATTCTGCATTTTAAAGGAATATTTGTAGTTCTACTCAACTATTATTTTATATTTTAACTGCCAAATAAAATAAGAAAAACAGGTTAGATTAAAGATCAAGGAAGTCTTATTTGTCTCCTCTGTTACATTGTTCTGAATTATATATAGGAAATACATTTTAAAACATGTTTATGTTGGCTAGTTTTTCTGTATTAACCAATAGGTTTGATTACTTACATCAGTGTTTCCCAACCTTGGCAATCTGAAGATGTCCGGACTTCAACTCCCAGAATTCCCCAGCCAGCGAATGCATTCGCTGGCTGGGG